AGAAGTTTGAAAAGTTCTCGCCATTCCGTCAAGTCACTACTTGAGAGAAGTAAGGACACTGAGCAGGTGGAAAAAGCCGAAAATTGTTTTTCTCCATAAGAACCATTTCGGCCTTACGGATGACAGTGCTCTCATCAAATGAATTAAGATAATGCAAGGACTTAACACACAAAGAAAGTGAGCGCGAAGATTAACGCACCCAAGATGTTAAAGAGCACTGGGACGATTTCCGAGGAAGCGGCACTCCTGCATTAAAAGGCAGTGGATGCTAGCTCGAAGTATGAAGTTCAAGGTAAAAAGGCCAGAACTACTGGAAACTTAGTATGTGGGAATACCCAGCGCCATCAGTGACATACAACTCTTGAATTAGCAACTGCAGAGTGGATAATTCCTATCTTCATTTTTCAAACAGTTTTACTGCTATTTATGAAAAACTGCTATTTGAACTGCTATTTTTTATGAATGAAAAACATTTGTCGGTGTATCGCTAAAAAACTACCGTACTTTCCTTCTAGGGAAATTTGTTACAAAAACACTCATCCTTCGCAAAAGTACTGCCTGCGTTAAATTTTCAAGGAGTTGTATGTATAAGAAGTCCAGCAGGTAAAACTTATAAGCTAACAGTGGAAGCAAAAATCTGAATTAAAATGAGAGTGGCAGTAGGATTTCAGTGATTTTTTGCCACTGAATTAACTAATGACCAAACAGTTCAAAAAACAAAATCATTTGCAGCCTTTGGCCATCTGGCACCACGATCGAGGTTGTTCGTGCAATGTGTGCCTAAACATTATCTTACTATTCATCTTCGTAATCCCATCTATAATTCATGCTATCTACTATTGCTACATGCGCGACTAGAACTAGTTTGGATCCGATCTTATTACCGCATCGATTTTTTACTCCTGAAATAGACCTTACATCCGAAGCATTCAACGAATCCTGCCATTTGCCTTTCTAATTTCTTGTATTTCCATTTAAATCGCCGGAAAAAATCATTTGTTTGCTGGATTATTTCGATCAAATTTTAATGGATAACTAGCCTTTTGGTGTAAATTATGCGCTTCTGTATTTCAGCGCCACAGCGTTACAACCGTAAGCAAAAGCGTATTATGAAGACTTATGATGTATGTGTGTGTTTGTGTAAGGGTGCATGTGGGCGTATGTTGTGTATGTGCGTCTGTTCGGGTATTTCAACTCGGCAGCCAAGTAAACTTAAATGCTGAAATTTTACCGACAGGTTCCTGATCTACATGGTCTCAACTTCCACATAGAGTCTCGCTTACGGACGCGTGAAAGTTCTGGCAAGAAAATTGCTAACTCGATGACCAGGAAAGCTGAAATTTCTGAAGGAACGTTCGCAGTCCGCGCTCGACTTAAAAACTTCGAATTCAATGCCTAAGTACGCCTGGTTTTCACGAACAGGGGCTCTTGAGGGGTTTCTGTGAGAAAGTATCTAACTTGCTCAGAAAAGCTAGAAAGCTGAAATTTCAAGTGGATGTTCCCTGTCTACATACGATCTAAAGATTTGCGATTCTTAAATACTTTTAATTTTCACGTATGGATACTTAAAAGTTTTATGCAATTTCGCCACCCTGCCGTCTCTACATCTCGCTCATTGTTCAATTTGTACTTTCAGTGAACAACTGGAACAGCTAATTTGTCATTTTCTTTTATGCAGTATTTACGGCAGTCATATAAACGCTAAAGGCTTCTTAATCATGATGCTATATTGCCATCCCAGCCGACGTTTTTTCCACACTGCGTGCAAGAAGAGACCCAAACACTGCCCTGTCAACATAAATTTACACGTTAATGATCTGTTTGCTTCAATTTTAGCACAAAAACCCATGATCGCACCGAAAAACCTGGTATGCGTTGCTACCTGGCTTTTTGTAAACAAAATCATGTACTTGTGTGACTGCGAATAGAAATCGGTGGCGTCTGTCCGCATGATAATTTAGCGGGTTGTAAGTTGCATTTGCATAAAAGGAAAAGTAACCGGGAGCAGTTTGGTAGCAAAGTTTCCTGTCAGGGCTAATCCCTGAAATAGATTTCCAAGGATTTCTCTAATGTGTTCTTTGATCCTGCGTGAAAATTAAAAACGATGACGCAGGGTGCACGAAACTGACGTCTTTAAGTTATAATGCATGAAGGACAGTAATCTGAAATCAGTCATTGGATTTTATTATATCTAGACCAGTTAACTGAAAACTTGTTCAGCTAGACTTTTATAAACTTTTATAAGTCCAAAATAAAGTACGCTACGTAATCTTAACAATTTAGTCCAGTATGCAGTGTAAGGAAAAAAACGAAACTAGTGTTTAGTCCTGTTTATGCAAGATTAGTAATTGTAGGTCGGTATTCAAATCACTTTTCTTGTTGTTTGTAATATGCACCCTCAAAAGCGTATGCTTGGGAGGGCTTTTCTGTGCGCGTTTGTTATCTAACTTCTTCGTCAGCCTTATCTGTAGATGCCTTTATTGCTGTCGACCATTTTAAAACCCAGGCTGGAACGCACCAGGCGAGCCGGTGCGATCATGCGTTTTTGCATCAAACTTTGAGGGCTTCATCATTATTTCCCTCTCCTTGCCTCACCCCCTCCACTCGGTTTTCTCGCCCCTCCCCTTTCCCCCGCACCCACCCTGCATATCCATCTTCTCCAATCGGTGATATTGTGCTGCATTATACAGCACGACTACAAAGCGGTATTCCATGAGTACGGTGCCGTGAGTCCAAAGCCCCTGCTGAGCGGTTTAACGCTCTTCACTTTGGGCTTATT